ATTTTTTATATTTAAAATAAGATGTTTATCCTGTATTTGATTGTGTTTATCTGCAATTAGTTACACGAATTCAGATATGGGATGAAATCGGATAGGGATGAACGAGTTTAAGAGTTTTTAAGAGTTTTAAGAGTTTTTAAGAGTTTTAGCCAAATGCTTTATAATATAGTATAGATAAGTATTATTTATTTTAAATAAAAATTAAAAAGTGAAAAAGAAAAAAACACAAAAAACCTTCAGCACATATGATAAAATGTTTGTTAATAATTTGTATAGTATAAATGATATAAAAAATATATATTTATTAATAATTTATGTAATATAAAGAATATAAAAGAAATATATATTTAATAATAATCCACATGTTAGAATATAATATAAATAAATTAAGAGAGAAAAAACTAAGGATGCGTTTGGTTTGCAGGAATGTTTCTGAGGGATTTGGATTCCTGGAGGGATTTGGATTCCATGGGATTTGGATTGGATTGGATTTGAAATCCATTCCTCTGTTTGGTTTGTAAGATTTGGATTTAGAATTTTTTTTTGTAATTATTTCTGGATACCTTTACACGCCCCTGTTTATACTATAATGCATGACAGGAAATTAGGGCAGAACCCTTGTGCATTTTCTATTCAACAATAGGGTAGAACAGTAGTTGGTTGTGGATTGGTTTTGTATTATCAATGCATTATCAAATTAAAACCCCAAAATGCAGACCAGAATCGAGCATTTCTAATGCTATAGAAAAGGGGTTAATCGATTACCTGTTGAGTGATGGGAGATGCCGGCAAACAGGAAGGAAGACAGCACCGGCGAGGAAGACAGCATCGGCGAGGAAGACAGCACCGGCGAGGAGGCAAACCTAGGGCACAGCTTCGCAAGGGACGTGACGGGAAGGAAGCGGGAGGCGTGGGTGAAGCAATCGATGGGAGGGAAGCGATGGGTGAAGCAATCGATGGGAGAAGATGGAGAAGATGAAATCCCACGGGGATGGGATTTTAAAATCCCATGTATTTTCAAAGGATTTTGAAATCCATGGTTCACGGGATTTTAAATGAATCATTGGATTTGAAATCCTACCATTCCTACAAACCAAACACAGGATTGGAATGGATTTCAAATCCAAATCCCTCCAAATCCATTCCAATCCCGCAAACCAAACGTACTCTAAAAGAAAAGAACTA